AGTTTCTTTTAGGATTGATATTTTTGACCAACTAAATTAGATATGGTAGAACTCTACGAGCACTACAAAATGATAGTATTTAAGACACTGTATCATATTTGTGAACAAAGTTACAAGCCAAAAAGCTGCAAATGCGGGCCGGGCCTGGTTCAAAAACATGATACAGTGTCCCAAATAATATCATTTTGTAGTGCTCGTCGAGTTCTATCATATCTAATTCAGTTAGTCAAAAATATTAATCTTAAAAGAAACTATGACAGGGCCCGTCCGCAAGTATGAAGCTGCATGGTTTAGCAAAACTCTATTAAATTCAAATTCTTTCAGGTCACCACATCCACAAACTCCAACTTGTCCGTTCATTTCTACGATGTCGTTTTTGCGTGCAATGGTCATTTTTTTGAACCTCTGAATCCATATAAGGATTCTGGATTTGTAGGAGAAATGTTGCATAGTCACGACTACAGAAGAGCTGAACATTTCGAAGGAAAGAAGGTTGTGATTGTGGGAGCAGGTCCTTCGGGAATTGATATCACTTTGCAAGTCGCATTGACTGCTAGGCATGTGAGTATTTTTTGGATTGGGATAGAGTGAAAATATTACTGTAAATATCAAGAATTTATTCTTGAACCATCCTAATATCTCTGATAATCGCACACTGACTGTCAACCCAAATCCATAGAACTCATGTGAGTATTATTTGAGTTGAACTTGAAAAATTAGAGCTCATGAAATTTTGCAAATTGAAAAATTTGGAAACCTCACAATCCAAATCAAAAACCTGTAATCAATTTTAAAAGAAGATACAAAGTTCCAAAGAAATTTGAAAAAGATTTTCAGGTCACTCTGATCAGTAAAAAAGCGACGTATCCGGTGCTTCCAAAAACCGTTCTTCAAATTGCAAGCCATGTGAAAAGTGTCTATGGTCTTGGTGTCATCACAGATGAGGGCGAAAATATCGCAGCTGATATTATCATTGTGTGCACTGGTTATGTTTTCAAGGTGAGCTTTTTTGAATCGAAATCTCTGGAAATTACCTAGTGAAAGTTATGAAAAGATGAATCACCAGATCAAAATGCACATTTCACATACCTAAACACTCTAATGATTTCTCCTCCCAAACCGTCAACTTTGAGACCACATATCTAATTTTCTGTAAAAGTTATCAAAAAGTGGTCTACTGACAGATTTCTTATTATAATATCATAAGTATTTTATACATAAGTTGATCACTTTGTAATACCTTTCAAAGGAACGGAGATGAATTGACTCAAAGTTGTAAGTTTGGGTGTTTACTCTACATATATTTTGCAGTTCCCTTTCCTCGACTCATCTCTAATCCAACTCAAACACAACGACCTAATGGTATCTCCACTCTATCAGCACCTTTGCCACGTGGATTTTCCCAAATCGTTATTTTTTATTGGTAAGACCATACTTATCCATTATTTGAACCGCCAAAAACTGTAGGTCTCCCGCTTGGAACCATCACATTTCCTCTATTTGAAGTCCAGGCCAAATATGCGCTATCTTTGGTTTCCGGGAAAGGAAAATTGCCAGGTGACATTCAGAATTTTGAAGAACGCCGTCTGAAAACTCTGGAAAATCCAGCAGCGTTTCATATAATGGTTGAGGACCAATGGGATTATATGAAGGAATTGGCTGCGATGGGCGGTTTCGAGGAATGGAATTTCATGGAAACTATTCGAAAAATTTATTGCTATATAATGATTGAAAGGAAGAAAAATGTGATTGGCTACAAGATGGTGAACTTTGAGTTGAACGAGGATAAGACCGATTTTAAAATTGTCAAATTTTGAACTTTAATTTTTTGTTGAATAAATTGTTTTGAACATTCTTCACATTTCTGTCATTTCATAACAATTGCTTGCCGTTCTTTCCGGTCGAGAGAGTACAAACCGAAAAAAGAGTTAGAGAAATAGAGAAATCGAAAAGGTCATTTGATTTGTGTTCACTCCATTAGAGTAACGTGTCAAAAAGGACATTGCCGGTAACGACTCATAAAACGCTTGAAATTTTACAGTCTCTTTGCCGCTTAAACTTTAAGACCATGGCCTAGAAGAATCACCTTGACTTTGTCCGGACGAAATTTGTACGCCATTTAGTTCAATGAGCTAACTTTTGTGATTTTCTGTCAATTTTAGGTGTCCAAATAACTTCCTCTGGAAACAAAGCTAGATCTTCAAATATTTGTTCAAATTTTACAGCACTGATAAAATTTCATACAATTTCGTAGTTTTAATTTTTTGTAGCCTTAGCAGTTTTTGAAATTTGCGCCTTTATAGTTGGTCTACCGATTGCCCGATTTCTCTTTCACCGCTTCCGCGACAGATGGAAGGCGCAGTTGAGAGTAGACTCTCTTTAAAGGCGCATATTTTCAAACTACTGTAGCTATCCACAAATTGTAAACTAACAAATCATATAAAACCTTGTTACCTACATTTCATTGTTTTCTACTCTAATTTTTGAGATAATTTTCCCCTGAAATGCCCTCGAAAATCTGCATTATTGGAGCTGGTGCCGCTGGATTGGTGACTGCAAAACATGCAATTAAGGATGGACATCAAGTAATTTGAATTTTCAAAAAAAAATCAAATACAGTAACCCTAAATAAAAATGTTCAGGTGGAAATATTCGAGCAAACAGATAAAGTTGGAGGAACATGGGTTTATTCAGAAGAGATTGGATGCCATTCCAGTATGTATAAAAATTTGAAGTGAGTTTAAAATAGTTTATTTGTTAGGATGCCCAATGTTCGAATTTGATTCTCAATGTTCGAATTTGTCCGCAGTTTTCCGCTGGACCTTTCAAACCGTGAAGCTATAATTATGTGTCTTTCAGAACCAATCTTCCAAAACAATGTCTGGAATTTGAGAATGTTCCGTATCCAGATGGTCTTCCATCTTTTCTACCTCACGAGAATGTTTTAGAGTATTTAGAAAACTACTCCAAAGAAATTTTGATATTCTTCAATACAAAAGTAATCAATGTCACAAGAGAAGGAGAGAAATGGAAGGTAGTGTCTCCTAGGTGGCTTCTAGACATTTTCAAATAATTTTCTAGGTCACTACTTCCACGTACTCCGCAGAATCTGAATTCGTACATTATTACGACGTCGTTTTTGTTTGTAATGGCCACTTTTTTGAGCCGTTCAATCCGTTTGAAAATGCAGAATTCGAAGGAGAAATGTTGCATAGTCACGACTACAGAAGAGCTGAACATTTCGAAGGAAAGAAGGTTGTGATTGTGGGAGCAGGTCCTTCGGGAATTGATATCACTTTGCAAGTGGCAATGACTGCTAGGCAAGTGAGTATTTTTTGGATTGGGATAGAGTGAAAATATTACTGTAAATATCAAGAATTTATTCTTGAACCATCCTAATATCTCTGATAGTCGCACACTGACTGTCAACCCAAATCCATAGAACTCTTTGAAATATTTTTAAAAGTTACCTAGTAAATCACACTTGCAGTATTTGATGTAATAGAAATCTACTGTATACGTGCAGTTTTGAGCTTCATTATCTCGGTTCCTATGAGAGATTTCAAAAATGTGTCAAATGATAAAATATTTATCACAATATTTTATTAGTTGGCAGATTTTTAATAACTCTCATAGGAACCGAGAGAGTCAATACGGAACTTAATTTCCAGGTGACTCTAATCGGCACTCATGCGGTGTTCCCTGTTGTCCTTCCCGGAACAGTTCGTCAAATTCCGACTCATGTGAAAAGCATCTATCCTGAAAATATAATCACAGATGAGGGCGAGAATATCACTGCTGATGTGATTATAGTGTGCACTGGTTATAAGTACAAGGTTGGCCTAGAAACTGGAAATTCTAAAAAACTATCATTTTTCAGTTTCCCTTCCTAAACCCCTCTCTGATCCAACTCAAACACAATTCTCAAATCGTTTCTCCTCTGTACCAACACATTTGCCACGTGGATTATCCTAAGACCTTTTTTTTATTGGTCTACTTCATCTAGCTGTCACTTTTCCGTTAATCGAGGTTCAAGCCAAATATGCACTCTCGTTGGTTTCCAGGAAAGGAAAATTGCCAGATGACATTCAAAATTTCGAAGAAAACCGACTGAAGACTGCAAAGAGTCCTCAAGATTTTCATGTTTTGGTTGAGGAGCAATGGGATTATATGAAAGAACTGGCTGAGATGGGAGGTTTTGAAAAGTTGGATCGAATGGAAGCGATTCGAAAATTGTTCGTTTATGTAGTGGAAGAACAAAAGAGGAATCCAATTGGGTACAAAATGCAGAATTTCGAATGGAGTGACAGTGAAATGGAATTTCGGAAAATTGATTCAAATTGTGCATTGACATTTGATGAATAAATAACTTCTCTTTCAAATTCAGTTTTTTCAACAGTTGACTTTGAGCCAAATTTTCTCGGACCTTGTAAGAAATATCAAAATGTGATCAACTGGTAAAATACTTGTGTTAGTATGATTAAAATTTTGTCAGTTGATTACTTTTTGATATCTTTTACAGGAAAAGGAGAAAATCTTTCTTAAAGTTTGAAACCAGGAACCCTTCTATTACAGGCATACCATTTGTAACCAATTCGTCTCCTTTCAATGGATTTTTACAAGAAAGATTTTTATTTTTTTTTACAAAACTGGAAAAGTCAGAATATGATATCGTTTGGTCCGGTATTGTACATAATATTTGGGATAAAAACCTTTTTTTTTTTGAAATCAAGAAGCACTTCCCAATTTGTCATTTTCCTTGTTTTTGTAGTTTTTGAAATATTTTTTTAAACTCTAGAAATATTAAAACTACACTCTGAAGATGAATGTTTCGTTTGAAATTACAGGAAATTCGATGCTATCAGTAAAGTCTGTGTGTCTGAAAGTCCGGATGTTCAGTTAAATATGTAAAACAAATTTTCAATATGTTTTTTTTCAATTTGCAAAAAAGTTGCATTCTATTTTTTATCTGAAATACTTCCCCTGTGATTCAAGCTTTACGAAATTCCGGATATCAATAGAGAGCGTTTTCATAATTTCCTTCTAGCCGTAATACATTGTTTTTGTATCGTTCCAATGATCAGAATACCAATCCAAAATTAGACCCCCCCCCTTATCCATCAATTTGGCACCTCCCTGTCCTCAACCAAATCCCATCTCTTTTCTTCAAGGATCAAATCTTTCCTTTCTCCCGAGATGGATCTAAAAAATCTGATCGATTTGGCAAACAAAACATCCCGAAAGGAAGAAGTAGTAGAAGGAGCAGATCCGCTGAGATTTTGAAAGGAGATGGAAAGAAAAAGAAGAAGAGGAAGAGACGCAAATCGTTACAATATATCTGTTCTCGTGAAGGTCACTTTTCCGGAGGAGACGAGATTTTCGAGAATTTGACTATACAGGAAAGAAGAAGAATTCTGAAGAGATTGTTTATCCGAGCATGGCACCAAGGTCTTCTTCATGGATTATCTGAAGTTTCAAATAAGCTAGAGACTCCGCCCACTTTTCTGGATCCGCCGCGGGGAACGTGACATCATTTAAGCTACATTTCACAACAAGAATGATCCATGAATCATGATCACGTGAATCCTTCGATGGATCGTTTCCCGAATATTCTTTCCGAAAAAGAAACATCGGAAAACAAAAGAGAAGATGCAGGTGTTTTGGCGCCGTGGTTTCTACCGTAGTCTTCCTCTCTTTTGAATTTCCAACGCGGACCATCTGCATATGTCAAATGGGAAAATGAATTGGCACTTTGGACATTACCTACCCACCGCCACTGTTATTTGAAAATTGTGGTTTTTAGGCTTTCGGCGCAAGAGGTGAAGGTTAGAGTGTGGACATCGGGACAGACAGACAGAAAAGAATATAAAAACAAGATTAAAAAATCAAATAAATTTAGAATATTTTTGAAACTCTGGAATTTTTTCCTAGCTGAAATTTTTGGAAAATGTTCCAAAACAGTGAATCTCTGAGAAGAAAAAACATCTGGATATCTGAAATTCTGAAAAATCACAAATGTAAAACGAGTTCAAAAAAACTGAAATTGTATAATTTTCGGGGAAAAATGTATGATCCTAGCCAAAATCCTAAAAAATGAGCTTAAAATGTTTTTGCCCTTATGATTCGCAGAATCTCGGAGAATGAAATAAAATCTGAAAATCTGAAAAATAAAAAGCTAACTAGAAAATTCTCTACCGTAATCTCTTGAAAGGTTTCATTTTTGAAACATTCTGCCTCTCGTTATAAGTACAGTACCCTGTCCTGCGAGCCGAATTGCTAGATACGACTACAGTACCCCAACAGCTACATACTCTATCCATATCTCTTTTGCAAGATGAATAAGACGTTGACCATTTAGCTAAGGGATACAAAAAAAGGGATAAGGAAGCATCTGGTTGATTAGTGATCGGTCGGGTTTTTTCTCTTATCCTCTCTCTTTATTTATTATTCCCGAAAAGTAACTCCTCTCGAAGGCTTCGGGAGTCGTTCCCGAAGAATTTCGCTTTTTTTTCCGAGGATCTTCGGGTTAGAAGTTAGAGAGTAAGAGAGATAGAATGGATGAATCCTCCTCGTGTGTTATTCTGAGGTGGGAGGTCGGGGAGACGCAGGGATAGTTCGGGAAGGAGGGAATAGAGAGACTGCAGGGGTCTCTACTGACCACCCCGAAGCATCGGAAAGGGTCACTTGCGTTCGGACGACGACATGCGAGGTAGGTCATCTCTTCTGCTGAGGCGAGAGAGAAAAAACGAAATTGAAGAAGAAGAAGGGCATCCGTCCCGGGACCCGCTAACCCGGTCACCCCGTTTTCGGAGCGACCAGCATCCCACTCATTTTTGCGGATTGTCTTCTGTGTCAGTAGTTGAGATCTTGCTGGATCCTAGGATCCATGAGATGCCAGAGTGTCCCTGTCCCATACTAATATTGTCCTGTTGTATCTGTGTATGTTGTTCCTGTGTTCTTATCTCTTTAATATTTCACTTCATGGTCACATTTTCCGTTCGAGAGAAATCTCCCGTACCGTACCACACTCTTGAAATTGCCCTTTTTTCGAGAAGTTCCCCTTCCCGAGACATATTGAATTTGAAGAAGAAGAAGAAAACGATCAAGAAGATGATGAAGAAGAAAAGGCAAGAAGAACAGAATAGATTGATGAAAAGCGACCTACACCGACGAATTTTTTTTATGTCGAACTTTTTTTCTTTTTTATTTTGTGATTTTTTTCTATTACTGAGGCCCTGATCGTTTTGTTTGAGGATTACTGTAACTTTTATTTCTAAAACTACCGTAACCAGTATATCAAACCTCGTAGCTAGATTCTACCGTAATCAACAGCTCGAGTCTACAATTCTTAACTTTGAAAGCTTCCCAGTCGAGCCCTTTTTTTTCGACCGTCCCAGTCTGAAAAGTTTTTAAGGCGCTTTTTGAAATTTCGTATTCTTCAGACTTTTCGATTTTTGACTCTTTTTAATTTATTTTTCAAATTTTAAAATACCGCATTTTCTTTAATAGAAGCTTACCCAGACCGCTAACTTTGAGTTTAATTATCTCGATTCCTGTGATCGATATCAAAAATTTGTCAATTGATAAAACATCGGGGATATTACGATAAATAATTCATCTGTTAACAAATTTTCGATATTTTTTGAAGAAACCTAGATAATTGAGCTCAAAGCTGACGATTTGGGCGGGCTTCTATTAGGGAATTACGGTAATTCCTAATTTCTCGAATATTCCTTTTCCATTTTTCTGACTAGTTCTAAACTTGCTAACGCATTCTGAATCGTTTTTACGCAAATTTCACCGAATTTCAGCTAACCTCATATTTCCTGATAATTTCGGAAAAATTGAATTTTCTAAATTCGTCATTTTTCTCGAATTCTGTCTTTTAACGCATATTCACTTTGACAAGGTCTCCTTTTTTCGATTTTCCTAAATTTTTTCTGAAATTCTGGAATCCAAATTTCCAAAGTTTGAATTCCCGACTATTACTTTCCGAACCTAGAATCGAAATTTTTTTTGATTTCCCTGATTCCCTCTTTGTACTCCGACGCCTACTTTTCCAAAAAATAAGAATCCCAAAAATACCGTAACCCCTTTTGGCACATCTCTTCATCTTTGTCCCCTCTCCTCATTTCAAAAGAGTCTTTTGATCGAAAACCCCGCTGACTTGACGGTTTTCTCAGGATGCGTCGTAGATTTTCAATCCGTCTTTCCCTTTCCTCTCTCTCTCTCTCTCTCTCTCCCTCTATATCTCAATTTATTTCCTAATCCATCACAAGATTGACTCCTAAAGCATCCAATATCTTTATGATCCGTATTTTTTCCCGCAGTATATGGATAGGTATTAATATAGGTATTAATGGGTGAGAAGACGAATGGTATCTTCCTTTTCCGAAGGGGATCGTCGTTATTATATTCTCAATTAAGATTTTCGTCATGTTGTCTACTGACCTTGGAACTGTTCATTCTCCCCATCCCCACCCATAAATTTACTCGCCTTTTTTTCGGAAGAACTACAAGATTTTTCGGCTGCTCAACTTTTTTTTACCGCAATTGAATGAACTTTTCCTGTTATCAATTGTGACTAATCTCGTCGGGGGGGGGGGGGGAATTGTTTTCTATTTACACAGATACCCAGGATTCCTATATGCTACTAGGATTCTGGCACGGTTACCTAGGCTAAACTTTTGCGCGCAGTGCTAGTGAAAGTTGGGTGCTGGCCTCTAGAACGGTCATCCACACTTTCATGATCCCAAAAGGTTCACCCAAATCCCTTCAAGACCTGCCACGTGGTGCTCCCGGTGCGCGCTCGCATGGTGGCCGGTGCCACGTCATGTGCGCGCACCACGTGGCTGGTGCCC